TCAGAAAAAGTCTCATAAAAGTGGTAATATTTGGGAGGAGATCCAAGATGGCAGAGTAGATAAACCCTGTGCCTGCTTCCTTCCATGAACAAATTAAAATTACAACTAAATGATAGAATAATCAACGTGGGGAACCATCTGAAGTCTGGCTGAACAGGAGTTTTATAACTAAGGATATAAAGAAGAAGCCATGTCCAGGCTGATAGGAGGGGTGGAGACATGGAACCGGCTAACCGCAAACCTCCATGTGTCAGTTGAGAACTGGGAGGGATATCTCAGTCATAGAGGTTCCCCCAACAAGAGTGAGAACCCCAGCCCCATATCTGCCTCCCCAGCCCAGAGTACTAATGCTGGGAAGAGGAGCCCTCACAATATCTGACTGTGAAAAACTGTGGGGATTCTGACCATCTTGGTGGGACAGAAGGTGGTGGGAAACCCAGGGAGCCTCTTTAAGGGCCTGTGCACAGACTCTCACTCCAAGGCACTCACCTTAGGCTCCAGCAGAGAGACAGTAACTTGGCGGGTGTCGGGGACATACAGAGGGCAGACTGAGTTGTGTTGCTTTGGGTTGAGGGCTGGAGGACAGTTGCCATTTTCCTGTGAGGAGGTCTTCCTCTTGTGCAGCTGGCAGGCAGGAACCATCTTTCCTGTGCTGGGCCTGCTCCACATAGATAAATCTGAATCTGATTGGTCTGGAGAGCTCTGCAGCTCCACCCTGCTGACTCAGTGGGACCTGGCCCTACCCACCTCCCCCAATGCCTGAGGCACTTTCTCCAAGAGTAGCCAGCCTTGCCTGCATTGCAGTTTTTCTTGAAAAACTATCACAGTCTGACAGACCACAGGCATGTGGCAACTAGCCTCTGTGTGCTGTGAGACTTGCTGAGTAACTTCAGGCTTAGCACTGGCACCAGACCACAATTTACATTAAACTTGTGATCACAACTCTTCCCACTCTACACTCTAGTGATTCACTGGGACCCTGCCTTACCCAACTTGTATACCGCATGAGACTTTATCAGTGGCTGAACTTTAAGGGAGCCAGCAGGCTTTGGGGTATCCTGGCATTTTGCAGAGCTACTCTAGGCCTGGTACTGGTGGCAGATGTACTCAGTTCACAGTATGGCCTCTCCCATGCAACTCCAGGGTTAGCAGAGGCAGCAAACAACCACAGATCGCTTTGTAGCTCTTACTAGGCAGTCCCTGGCTGGTCACAGGCAGTGGGTGACTTGGGCCTGCATTGAAGCCCCTCACAATAGGCCCTAGAGCCAACATACTTGGTAGTTGGCTTCAGACCGCAACAGAGCACCACCCAATTAGCCCCACAAGTGGCACACCCAAAGGGAGGTCTCAATAGGCAACAGAACTACTGGGGTGAATACCACTCAATGGAATAAGCCCCCCCACATAGCAGCTTGTAAGCTGTGGACATGGTCAAACCCCACAGCCAATCAGCTTGAGGGGCAGTCCCACCTATTGATGTGCCAATAGCAATCAAGGCTCAACTATAACAGGAGGGAACATACAACCCACACAAGGGACATGCCTGGAGAACCCTGCTCAGGTGACCAGGGAGACTGTGCCACTGGGCCCACAGAACACCAACTACATAAGGACACCTGGCCAAGACTGGGGAATGTAGCAGATCTACCTAAGACAAGGTTGGACAACTAAGTTTGAGAACTTGTCCTAGAAAAAGTGCTACACACCTCATTGCTAAATATTACTATAGTCATCTTTGAAGTACTCCCCTTGGGAAGCTATGCACCGATGCCAGTGCCTTCAAAGCAATTTTGGAACTCTTTTTCTGGAATGGCCATCAGAATTGTTGTCATATTACCCTTGATGTCCTGAATGTCATCAAAATGTCTTCCTTTCAATATTTATCTTTGGGTAAAAAAAGAAGTCATTGGGGGCCAGATCAGGTGAGTAGAGAGGGTTTCAATACAGTTATTTGTTTACTGGCTAAAAACTCCCTCACAGACAGTGCCATGTGAGCTGGTGCATTGTCATGATGCAAGAGCCATGAACTGTTGACGAAGAGTTCAGGTCATCTAGCTTTTTCATGCAGACTTTCCAGCACTTCCAAATAGTAAACTTGGTTAACGATGTGTCCAGTTGGTACAAATTCATAATGAATATCAAAAAAGGTTAGCAACATCATTGTAACAAGTTCACAAACTTAATTATCAGACTGCCTATATCCATTTATCTCTCCCATAGCTCCTGGCATACTGTCTTGCAGGCTTAAAAATTTAAAAAAAAAAGTGACATTAAATTGAATTAAATTGTGGAGGCAAAAGAATTCAGGGAAACTGACATAGAAATCAGAACCCAGGTTTCCTAACAGGAACATGTACTTCCTTTAGGTCAAAGATATATTTTTTTTCATTTTAGTTTTATCTAATTGTAATAAAGCACGTATCATTTACATTAATCACATTCTTCTGGTTTTCCTCATACTTCATAGGTCACTCATCCTCACCACTTTTGCTGGATCTTCTTCCTCTTCTAGACCTCTAATGTTGGAAAACTATAGGACTAGTCCTGGAACCTCTTCTCTACATACATTGACTTCCTAGGATATCTCATCCAGTGTCATGGCTTTAAGTACCATCTATATGCTGATGACTCTCAAGTTTATATATCCAGTCCCAGCCTTTTCACTGAACTTCAGCCTCATGAAATTGTCAGCTCAACATCTCCAATTCGATAACTAATTGTCATCAGAAGCTCAATATGCACAAAACTGTTAAGTTACTTTATACCCAAACCTTCTCTTACCCTAGTCTTCCCTACTCCCAGAAACTTGCAATATCTTTCATCCTCATTATTAAAGACCCAAATTTTAGAGTCAGCATCAATTTCTTTCTTTCAAAGCATATATATAAAACCATATTTAAATCATGACAGTCCTACCTTAGAGTAAAATGCCAGGTGAAACAATTTCTCCCCACCTCCACTGCTGCCACCTTGTCCAAGTAACAATTACCTTTTGCCCAGACTATTACAAAAATCAACTAATTGGCTAATTGGACACCCTTCCTTCCTGCCTATAGACAATTCTCCACTCAGCAGCCAGAGTAATCTTTTTTTTTTTTTTAAGATTTTTATTGGGGAATTGGGGGATGGGGAACAGACAAGTTGCTGTCCTTTTGTTCTTCAGTCTAGTTGTGGAGGATGTTGCTTCATTGGCCCAAGTTGGCACCATCATTGCACTCTTTCCGGGAGACGCAGATCAGTCGCCGGCTTCTGGATGGCCGCTCACTGCGGCTGCTGGCCGCTCACGCTGGCTGCTGGCTACACACAGTAGCCCATGGCCACCCACTGCAGCAGGGGCTGCAGCCTATGCCATCGCCGTCGACTCACCAGCGTCTTAGCTGTAGAGAGCACTGGCCCTCATATGTGGGATCCGAACTGGGGCCCTCTGGCATTCCAAGCCAGCTCTTAACCACCATGCCACTTGGCTGGCCCCAGAGAAATCTTAAATAGAGAATCAAATTATGTCACTCTCATGTTCTAAACCTCCAACCTATGCACATCTCATTTAGAATAACATCAAAATGTCTTACCATGGTCATAAGGCCCCACACAATATGGCCCCTATCTTCTTCTGACTGTATCCACTACCTCTTCACACCTTTACTCCGGTCCTGTCATATTGTCCTTCTTGCTCTTCCTCAATATACCACGACTTTCTCAAGTCCTTTGCACGCTCTAGGATCTTGACAGCCAGTCAAGATAAGTGAGGTAAAGTTGCACACAGGTATAGTAGATTATTCATCTTTGTTTTTCCAACACCTAACTTAGCGAATGGCATATAGTGGAACTCAAGGATGTGTTTGGCTAAACAATAGCTCTCTTAAAAAAAATGGAGATTTTAGCTAATTGTATGGTTAGAATATAAGCCTACATTGTGAAATATTTTCCCAAAACATCTAATGTTACCTAAGGCTGTATAATAACAGATGTGTATTGCTTGGAGAAAGGCAGATCCTAATTCTTTTAGTCCAAACACTTCTGGAATGTTGTATTTGGCTTTAGGTATCACATATTAAGAAGGATTCTGATCCACTGCTGCATTTCAGACAATGGATATTTTTCAGAAGAGGAAAACAGAGTGGTAAAAGGACTACACTATGCCTTGCGAGGAACCACTGAAGGAACTGAGAATCTTTGACTTGATGAATACTTACTTGATGGTTGGGAAGGAGATGTGAAAGCACTCCCCAAATAACAGAGAGTCTGCCACATGAAAGAGGGGGTTATGCTTATTATTGTTAGATAGAAAGGAAAGAACCAATGGTAGGAGGTTTCAGAGAAGGAACTTTAGTTCAGCATAAGGAAGAATTGCCTACCAATTTTTCCCAAACCAGTGTTCTGCAGAATACTGTGCCATGTTAGGCTACACAAAGCGTCTTGGGTCTTTACTGCAGGAGTTCTCAGAATCTTTCATATGCAAATATCAAGAAGAAGCTATAATATGTCTCATTCCAAAATTTGTTTATCTATGGAAACTTTTATTCATAAAGCACTGTTAACATTTCTTGAAACAATGTATCATAGAACAGATTGAGTTAAAGCTGCTCAAAAATGAACAGAATATCTTTTGAAGGTGTAGGGTCAGGGTCACATCAAGATATCTGGTGCTGCTGTCACTTCAGTACTTCTGAGACCTTGGTCACTAAAGCTAAAGTATATAATGTTTGGAAAACTGGAGCAACTTCTCTTACTTGTTATATTTACTATGTGAAACCAATGACAATGAGGCTCTCTAGTACATTGGTTCTGAACTTATTTCCCACTCATTACCATAGGGTAATGATGTTCCCATGTCTGTCCACAGATTCATTTATTGTGTGCAATGTAATGTTTCTAACTTTTCATAAACAAACAAACAAAAACCTCATGTTCTACAACCCTCTATTCCCACAGATTTTGATAGGATCCTCATATGGAACCCTGCCCCTTCATTAAGCATTGCCATTTTACGAGCTCAAACCTAGAGTATTAATATAAGTTTTTTAATAAACAAGAAACTTCCAGGTATAAATGAAGAAATGGCATTTAAAAATTGTGGGAAAAGTAAGACAAGAAAAATTATCAAAAATGGACGCACTTCTTTGAGGCTGAAGGGAGTAATAACAAAAAAAGAAGATGGATTCATAAAAATATTAGTTATTAAATATTTTTTGCATTGAGCAAGCCATGATGCAATGATGAGAAAAAGCTGGCCTAACAACATTGAAAAGACAGGGTTTCAAAATTATAATTAGTGTCTATACAACTGTCCACAGGAGGGCATAAGCCAGGCTGAAATATTGTAGTCCCTAAGAAGAATGTGCACTATAGAAGAATGCCTCATCAGTATTTCTACAATTCATACCTGTTCCTGTTTTCCAGAACCATGTTTACCAATGTTGACTATCTTTAATTTGATTTCCAAAGATCTATCAGTACCGATAAAGGGTTGTTTGGGTTAGTAAATAAAATACTGTAATTATCAGAAAGTTATATCCTCTCCTGTGTGTTAATAAAATATCATTCTAGCTCTTACCAGCTGTACTGAAAATTTTACTAAGGTTTTATCAAACTTGGATAGCTGATAGGCCAGGTTGGACCAGATCACATCAGATGTACCAATTCTTGAGGTCCTTGTGAATAACACAATTATATTGCTTACAAAGAAAGTTAAAATACTATTCTCTGTTATTCTGCAATTTTGCCCCTAACTCAGCATCTCAAAAAGTGGGGCCATCAGTTCTAAATAGCAGGTAAAGGAATTCTCACATAACTAATCACAATTATACACTTATGTTTTTCATGGCCGTTTGGAGACACCAGACCAATTTCCGCAACACTACACAAGGTTTACTGAGTTCACTGATAGATGGGAAGACATAGAGTCTCAGGGACCTTGCTCTTCAATATAGTGGAAAGCCCAGAACTGCCTCTATCATGGGAGAAAAGTGGAGGATATCAGCTCAGATATGATGCTACCTCTCTCCTAACCAAACAGGAGAACAAATGCTTGAAGTTTGGTGATGGCCAAGCCGAGAGCCAGGAATATGGGTCTGGGCGGAGTCTTGGGAGCCGTTAGAGCTTTGTGCTCTTGGTCTTCTGGTTGATCATATTCCTCTGGATATGGGGAATCTGCTTCTCTGCCAGCTCCTGAATATCCTCTGGCTTTACAGGAACATAGTAGTGGGCCATGATGGAGAAGACCAGGCAGACCACCAGCAGAAGGCAGGAAAACATAATGAATTCGGCCCACTGCAGGAGGAAACAAAGAAAAGAATATGAAGAAACCTGAAACTGAAGGGATCCTCAAAGGATGAGGACTGGGTTGCAGATTGACCCAGGTTCACCATTAAGGCAGACGTTTGCTAGAAGAAGACTGGGTTCAGTGACCTCTCCTCACGTGGGCCTGTGGTGGCCATCACTAACACTTACATATGTCTATTTTCCTGGCAAGGTCTGTATGTATCTAACCCATCTTACATGGGAAATGTGGGAGGAGGAGGGATGGGAGAAGGGGGAGAAGAGGAATTTGGAGGAGAAAGCTAGGATAGACACAAGCTCCTGTTTCTCTCAGATCCATACCTGTACTAGGCCACTGAACTGGGCCACAGCAAGCACAATGAAATTCCCAACTCCAATTGTCAACAACCAGGCTGCCTGGAGTACAGATTTCATGCTGGAGGGAGCCTAGAGAGGACACAAGTTTGCAAGTAAACAAACTCCCTGCACCATCCTCATGCCCCCATGCATTTATCCAGAAAACTTCTTCCACAAAAGCTTCCAGATTAGAACTTCCCCCACTAAGTTCAGCTATCATATTGATTCAGGGGGTGGTAATAATGTTAATAGTAATAATAGGATGGAGCTCTTAATCGAATATTTTGATTCATTACTCCATATAATCTTCATCACAACCCTAAGAGATAAGAGATAAAATGATATTGGAGAGAAATGATAATTCACTTACTCAAGGTTATACAACAGGTTGTACAGCCAAAATTTGAACATAGGCAGTTTGACTCCACAGTCCTTAACTCTTAATTTTTAAGTACCCTTTCCTAGATTTCAAATAGCATAGGCTACTATGCTGTAGTTTCATGACTCTCGAACTCAAGATGACTCTGTTCAGGGCCATGTAAAAGGAACCTAAGGCCAAAAAATATAAAGGTCTTGGCCAGGGTCACATGCCTATTTTAGTCAGTGCCAGGATTAAAATTCACCACTCTCTAAGCAATATCTCCACCTCCACTTTCCATTTGCAAAAACCTACCTGAGAATAAGAAAACTCAAGTCCTGTGACAGAGAACATGACCTCCCCAGCTGTAAGCAGGGCATATTGTGGTAGCTGCCATGCAATGGATATTTTGTTAGCTGGAATGTCTTCCATCTTCCAGGCCTGAGGACCCTGATTGGTGCTCTTGGTGAGAAAAAGAAGAAATAGGTTTGTCAGTAGTCTCAAGTAAATAGTCTTGACCTGCTGCATTCTATGATCTTATATCCATCCTCTCTTTATATTTTCATCCTTTTGCTGCCTTCAAGAGACTGAGCAATTTTTACACAATTTCAGTTTTTTGAAATTCCTTTTGTTTAACACTGCACTCACTTGTCTGGCTTCAGATACCATTACTGACAGTCCTTAAATAGCAGAGTATTTTTCTATTGCAGATTGTATTCCCACCATTTTGACCTACTGGGTATTTAGATCCTGGTCAACATTTTAAATATACAATACATCTAATTTATACAAAACAATGAATTTTCATAAAGCACATTCTTAAGAAAAATTTAATTCTTTGTCTAATTTTCTATGTAAGTACAATTAAATTGTTTTTAACATTTTTCATTAAATGTTTTCTTTTACTAAAATTACTTTATCAGAGTGAATTATTATGTTTTCTTGGTAACCTTTACATTGAAAATTTTGCAGATCAATTTTTAAAAATCCATATAAAATACCACCTGCTATTTTGAATTCTATTTACTGGCCAGTATTTTTTAACTTAAATCTGACACACTCAATTTTTTCAAAAAGTTGCAAATTTTTTGTAAAATTTTGGTCAAAAGGAATTTTTTAGGGTTAATTTCTGGTTAATGTTACCAAATATATATCATTCTATAATCTTTTTTTTTGTCTAAAACTACTTTTACTATATGCAAGATTTTAGTTATGGTTGGTTTTATAAAGATTATGTCTACTAATATATGTTATAAATGAAATGAAATTTTAAAAATTATATATGTATTTCTTGGAGTAAAACCATTCTTAGATAGTAAGTGTAATATCTGGATATACAATGAGATTAAAACGGCAGAGTTAAAATATCAAGGTCAAAGTCCTTGGAATAAGAAGTCTTTGATGTCCAAATGCAGTTGATTCTCTGAATCAAAGAGACATTGAGTTCAAAATAGTAAGGTAAATTTTGCTTCAGTTAATATTCTGAACACCTGAGCATAGATTTGGGTGTTCTCAGCCTGAGAGAAATGACCTGAGCTTGTAAACCCAGGTCATGTAATCAAATACCCACAGACATATAATTAAATAAATGAAGCCAGCTGAATGGGAATGAAGGGACTTAGGCAAACTGGACGCCATAAGCCCCATCTAAAGGGTACAACTGTTAGCACCACCCAACTGACATGGTAATTCCTGTTACAAAATCTTCTGTTATTGTTTTTAAGAAATGTTATGAATCCAGCTTCTTAGGTGAAATCTCTTGAACTTTAAATGTTGTCAATTAATAATAATAATTATTAGTTATCAATACTGTGCAGACCGAAAAACAAAAACAAAGACTATGGGAGGAAATAGGCTCCCAGGTCTCCAATTTATGATCTCCATTTTTTTGTCTTTTTTTAAATTACATTTATTGGGGTGACATTTGTTAATAAAATTATATAGGTTTCAAGTGTACAATTCTATAATACACCATCTATATATTGCATTGTGTGTTCACTACCCAGAATCAGGTCTCCTTCCATCACCATATATTTGACCCTCTTTACCCTCTTCTAGCATTCACTCTTCCCCCTTATCCTCTGGTAACCACTAAACTGTTGTCTGTGTGTATGAGTTTTTTTCTTGTTTGTTTGTTGCTCTCAGTTTTATATCCCACATATGTGTGAAATCATATGGTTCTCGACTTTTTCTGACTTATTTTGCTTAGCATAATAATCTTAAGATCCATTCATGTTGTCACAAATGGTAGTATTTCATTTTTTTCTTATGTATGAGTGATATCCCATTGTATATATATACCACATCTTCTTTATCCAATCATCTATCAAGGGACACTTTGGTTGTTTCTATGTCTTGGCCACTGTGCATAATGAATTACCACATGACCCAGCAATCTCTCTTCTGGGTATTCACCCTAAAAATCTGAAAACATCTATCTGTAAAAAGATATGTACCCCTATGATCTCTACTTTAGATGCTTATCAGAACTTGCATTCACAAACAATATATATGGCCTCTATCTTGAGTAGAATATGAGAGAATAAACAAAAAAGGGAGTAATACCAGGTATGCAAGTGTTATAGGATGAATTGTGCCCTCCTAAAACTCATATGTTGAAGTCTTAACCCCCAGTATTTGAGAGTGTGAACTTGTTTGGAAATATGATTATTGGAGAATAATTAGTCAAGTTAAAATAAGGTCATTAGGGTGTGCCCTAATCCAATATGACTGGTGTCCTCATAAAGATGGAGAAATGCAGACATGGAGTTCTCCATGTGTAGACAAGCATACAGGGAGAACTTCATTGAACATGAAGGCAGAGATTGGGGTGATTCTTCTACACACCTAGAAGAATATTGCCAGAAAGCCACTAGAAGTTAGAGGAAAAGCATGAAAGATTCTTCCTCACAGCCCTCATAAAAAAACTAATCCTATCAATGCCTTGATCTTGGACTTCTAGACTTCATGACTCTAAGACAATAAATTTCTCTTGTTTAAGCCACTCAGCTTGTGATATTTTGTTACAACAGTCCTAGAAAACTAATACAGCTAAATTGGTTTAATATCTGAAAATCAATTTATACCATATCAATGTAATAAAGGACATGATTATCTCAACAGACACAGAAAAAACATTGAACAAAATACAACCCCCTTCATGGTAAAAATAAAAAAGTTTAAAAATTAAAAATCTCAACAAACTAGGAATAGAAGGGAACTTAACCTGATAAATGGCATCTATGAAAAGCCCACTGCTAACACACTTAATGATAAAAGACTGAATGTTTTCCCCCTAAGAAGTCTACTCTCACCACTTCTATTCAACATTATACTGTAGGTTCAAGATAGGGCAATAAGTCAAATAAATAAATAAATAAATAAATAAATAAATAAGTGGCATCCATTTTGAAAAGAAAGAAGTAAAGCTATTTCTATGAAGATGACATGATCTTGTATGTAGAAAGTCCTAAAGGATCCACTAAAAAACTATTAGAACTAATAAATGAGTTCAGTAAGATGGCAGGACATAAGATCAATATACAAAATCAGAGGTATTTCTACATATTTGCAATAAACAATCTGAAAATGAATTTAGGAAAATGATTCCATTAACAATAGCATCATAAAGAATAAAATACTTAGGAATAAATTAAATAAAATAAATGTAAAACATATACTTTAAAAACTATAAAACAAAGTTGAAAAAATTTAGGTCTTAAACATCTAGGAGCCAGCCGAGTGGCACGTTGGTTAGGAGCTGGCTTGGTAGGCTAGCTCTGAGCAGCGGGACTCTGGTTCGGATTCCGCATGAGGGCCAGTGGTGCCGCGCTCTCTACAGCTAGGATGGTGAACAACAGCTTGATCTGGAGCTGGACTGCCTTGAGTTGCCGGCGACGGCATAGGCTACAGCGGGCTGCCATAAAGCTACCGTGAGTGGCTGGCAGCCAGAGTGAGTGGCAGGCAGCCAGCATGAGCTGCCAAGAGCCGCCATGAGCGGCTGTCCAGTGGCTGGTGAGCGACTGCCTCACCCGGAAAGAGCACAGTGATGGTACCAACATGGGCCAGTGAAGCAACGTCCTCCACAACTAGACTGAAGAACAAAAGGACAGCAACTTGTCTGTTCCCCTTCCCCCAATTCCCCAATAAAATCTTAAAAAAATAATCTAAATAAATGGAAAAACATCTCATGCTTACTAATCAGAAGACTTAATATTAAGATAGAAAAAGTCCTCAAAATCATCTACAAATTTAATGAAATCCCTGTTAAAATCCCACCTGGCTTCTGTTCCTAAACTGATCTGAAAATTCACATGGAAATTCATGGGACCCAACATATCTAAGCCAACCCTGAAAAGGAAGAACCAAGTTGAAGGAGTCATATTTCTTGATTTTGAAATTTACTACAAAGTAACAGTAGTCAAGACAGTGTGGTGCTGGCACCAGGACAGTCACATAGATCAATGGAATAGAACTGAAAATCCAGAAATAAGCCCTCACATTTATGGTCAATTGATTTTTTTCTGCATATTATATTTTTAGTAAAAAGCTGCCTTGAGTTGTTTGACAAGAGAAGAGATTATTTGGTCCACAACATTTGTGCATTGAGCTTACTGTAGGCAAGAGCCCAGATTAATTACGATTTCCTGTCTCTTCCTGCTCTCTGAGTCATACTTCTTCTTTTTTTTAAATCAGTTTCAGGTGTACAAAGCAACATACTAGACACTTACTCTCCTCACAAAGTGATACCCTCCCCCCAATCCGCTACCTCTCTCACATGTATGTAGCTGTTACAACTCCATTGACTATATTCCCTGTGCTGTACTTTACATCCCGTGACTATAGATGAGTAATGTATACACATTTTAAGAAAGGAAAACTATTAAAATTGTAATACTCAGAGTCAGTTCTGAACACACAATGTGATATATAGATGATGTATTACAGAATTGTACACCTGAAACCTATGTAACTTTACTGACCATTGTCACCCCCAATAAAAAAATAAAAATTTTTTTTAATTAATTAAAAAAAGAGAAAAGAATGGGTAGACAATACGTGGAGGTATTAGGTATAGAAAACTAAGTTCTAGGAAATTAGGAGATTCTAAAATAGCAAACAGCTGATCGGGGGAGTATGACTAGAAAGTGACAAAGAGAACAGTTAATCAGTTGGAACTGAATTGTGACAAAGCAAAGCTGTTGGAGAGGAGACAAAGCAGCCAGGGTGTGGTGATCCTGGCAAATAGCAGATGTGAAATTGAGATAGAATTGTTGCCTTTTTTTTCTAATTTGGAAGCCCTTTACAATAAATAAAAATGTTCCAAATAAAAAAAACTGTAATAATATATACCAATAACAAAAGATAAACACAAGTCATGTTTGACTTCTGCAATTACAAGAGGTGCTCAAAGTGGTTACTATCAGTGTCTAGACACTTTTGATTATGGCAAACTACTGCTTGAGCCACGTTGACCAAAGTGTCTACTTGTATACATTTTTTTTTGCCCCCAGTATTATTGAAAAAATATTCTCTATATAGTGAATATATATATCAATATATATTGAATATGTTAATATAGTTAAAACTATTATATACTTTAAATGGGTGAATTGTATGGTATATGAATTATATTTCCATTAGGTTGCAATAAAAATAGCATATCAATTATATCAGGTTATTAAATTAATTAATTAAAATAAATAAAACTTCACAGATTATTCTCACCACACTTTTAGAAATGTTCCATCTTTTTCTTATATACTATCTTTTTTTATATTTCATACAATGTCAAAAATAACAAAATAAAATTAGGATCAAGATTGATATCAAAATTAAAATTCAGAGGTACCCTGCCCTGATTCTGAGAAAATTGCTTTTGTGGACCACAGTTAACTGATCCCCTAAACTTTGTATAGAGATTGACATTTCCTACCTGTCTTGGTATTTCAGATTGTGATAAGCTAGCAGATCAGTTTTCAGGGAGCTACGAAACTTGCATGTGGAGTTTGTCAAGAAGACATAGGTAATCTTTCTTTCCTTGGGGCCATAATGATACTGAAGCAGACCATGACCCAAAATAAATTATGTCTCCCATTCCCCCATACCCTGTGCCTGCTGCCAATGTTATCTCTTTTAACTTGCTTCTATGGAGACCTCAGTAGGCATTCTAAAGCCACTATAGAATCTATCATCTTACACTAGAAATAAATATGTGATCCTATCTTGCCACAAAGTCTTCTTCTTCTTTGAACTTCAGGATAGATACAGATATAGATATATACAGAGGGTGTCAAAAAAATGCATACACATTTTAAGAAAGGAAAAAACTGTATTAAAATTGTAATACTCAAAACATACTGATAACAAAAGATGAATACAAGTCATGTGTATACATTGTTTTGCACCCCTGGTATATATTGAAGGAGAGAGCGGAGGTGGCCATGAGCTACTTACATTAGTAATAACAAACAGATACGCTGCACCAAAGTCTAGAAGGCCCAAATTCAGCAAAAAGCCATTGTCTTCTGTTTTACACTGCACCGCAGGGTATCTGGAACAGGAGGAGTTTAGGTCAGAATAAACATCCCAGCTTAGAAAATCACTCCCATCACCAGGGGAAAGAGTGGCCTCATCTCTCTATTGATGGTGAGTCAAGCAGCAGCCACCATTACTCTCACAGAAAGGAGTCTCTGGGAGTAAATTATAAAGTATTTTCATGCCAGCTTTTTCTGACACTGATCTAAATCCTTCATTGTCTGTTGGGTATTTTTTTTTTAACCTTAAACCTGAATAAAGAAGGCACAAATCATCTACATTTGTGGATTTCAGGATCTAAGTCTTCTCATCTAAGTCTTAGGAAATTTCCTCATCTAAGTCTTATGAATTCATGGAACAGCATACAACAGTGAAACTGAAAGGATAAGCTTCAAGTAATAATGTGCCAATAGGAAGTACCAAAGGGTCAGAATGGGAGCTAATAATACACTTTGCAAACCTCCCGGAGGTGGGCCTTGTTAACTAAAAAGTATGGCCTTCACAGCAATCATGATCTCAATATATCTCTGTGGGAAGGGAAGGAGGCAAAGGTGGAAAAAGAGTCTGTGTATACACAAAATTAGCCAAGATATACCTCTATCTTGACACACTTTTATGCAAAGAGAGCATGTGAAAAACAATTGTTGATAAAAGTAAAATGTCCAAAGGTAATGCTCTTACTCTCCTGTTTGCATAGTTCTGTAAGCAGACACACCGTAGTCTTCATCAACACTGAGTGGACTATCTGTACCCAAGGAGATATTGACCTCCTTATGCAAAGTGTTAACAAACCTAAGGATAGAAATATTGTTACACATAAGACAAAGCTTCCTAATAGGTACACATGATAAAGGGTTAGAGGGTAGGGGCCTTTCCTGGCTGGTTTTTGTTTTTAATTACTCTGTTCAATGACTACAACAGAGGCTGGCACATAAATAGTATGTGATATTGTTAACTGGATGAATGAATGAACAAATGTAAAAAGTAATCAGTAGTCTTAGCTGTCCCTAACTTTCACCCTCTCCTAATCACTAGCTGGGATGGGCATTACCATGGTCATCCATGGCAGCCTGAGTTGCCTCACTAATCCAGCTTTGGTGCACCCAATTTCTTTCCCTCTTGTAATAGTGGGGTTCACCAATTGAGACTCCATTAAGAAAAATGATTATGTACATATATATACCAGTATTTATATGAAACATATTTATCCGCTTATAAATGAAGTCTGATTTCACTCACATAAAACTCAGATTCCCAGCCCATAATAGGTTGAGTTATCATTGTTCTGGAGTCTGTATACAATCCTGACTGGACCCTTCCAGAACAATCTTTCTAGTCTTCTGAACCTAGGCCCCTAGGTTGTACCCCCAGTGTGAGTTTTCGGTGCATTTCTATTTTGATTTTGGTCTCTGGCCCATGGGATAAGAAGGGCAGTTCTCTCTAGAATCCTGAATGTTGACTCTTGGACTTGAGAGAATCCTGCACTGATCTAGAAATTTCCCTTCTGGCAGTTCCTATGGCTCTCTGACCTAGGGAAGTCCTATCTATTCTTAACAGCAATCACCTAATCTCTCTATCTCATGTCTGATTCTTGCCACAAAAAGCAGGTGACTTCTTTGGTGCTCCATCTCTGTAACTGTCCCAGGCTGTATGACAATACCTTCAGCCTTATCTGGATTCAAAACCAAGTCTTTTGACTCCAAATGTGTTACCTTTATCCCATCATGATGCCTCTATAAGTTTATAATAAAAACTATACTATAGAAATGCAGTAATAATAAAAGATACTCAACTACCAATAACGAAAGGTATTTGCTCACTTCTAAATTTTTCTCTGGTGATTACAGAGAGAAAAGTACTGAATTATTTTCCTGAGAACAAGATAAGTACATAAAATTCAGTAGAAGGGATGTATGCATCAGATACAGGATCGTCTTTGAATACCACATGGGAAAGCAAGCCTATTTACTCTGTGTCCTGGAAAATGCCCTCTGACACCCATGCCCCTGACATTCTAGGAGACAGAATCCCTGTACTAGACAAGTACAATGTGAGGCCTCCTCATTTGAAGCCCCACAGATCAGAAAAAAACTAAGATTCAAGAGAACAGAATGGTCTGGGATCTCCTTGATATCCAAACCTCACAGCTGACATCCCATTGGTTGTTATGTTTTCTGCATCCTTCACCTTAAAGAGAGGAGAGTGAAAATCAGTTACAGCTGACAACAGGGAACCAATAATCAGAAAATTTTACCATTAGGAATATCTTGAAATATATTGATGAGCCAGAGATTATACTCTAAGATAATAATTTGGAACCTAGGCCATTCCTCAACTTACCATCATGCTGGAAATATTTTTCCCATCTTCTCGAATGACCAGACTGTACCAGCTCTTCTCCTTCACAGAATGCTCAGTGTAGACAGACAAATTGTGATATTTCAGGTGGAAGTGAAAATCCTTGCTTTTTGTCTTCAGGTGGAATTTAGAATAGTGTGACATTTTCTGTAGAATGAAAAACCTGTCATATTCAACTTCTACCCCATCCTGGACATCAGAACCTCATAGCATCCCAGGGCAGGTGACTTCATCAGATACTTTCAACATTATTCTTTAAGCTAGTAATCCCATTTTTAGAAATATACCATAGGAGTAATTAGAGGCATGTGTAAATATTTGTGAGTAAGGGTATTCATTATAGGATTATATAAAATAATAAAAAAACTTAAATATCTATAAGGAAATGTTAAAATAAACTATTGGGTTGTCAGAAAAGTCATGATGCATTTTTGCAATGAAAAACAGAGAAAAAAATACATCATGACTCTTCCGACAACCCAATATATTTTCCAGAATGGAAATGTATGTGTCCATTAAAATCATGTTCTCAAAGATTATCTAAGGACATGGAGAAATTTTTATGATGTAATTAATGTTAATAAAAAATCAAGGTCAATACACATAAAGTTTGAGCACTTTAAAAAAATGAGTTTGTTTATTCATTTATACAAAAATGATCACTGTGATTATCTGTGGGTGATGGAATTATAGGCGGGTTTTATGTCTTTCTATATACTTCCCAATTTTCAACAATAAATGTATTACTTTTATTAACAACATTTTGAAATAAGTTCAGTAATAGTAGTGAAAACATGCAAACCAAACTCTTTCAGAGGATGTGTGATTAGTAGGCAGTTTGAAATAACAATACAAGTTACAACTTACTGAGAGCTTACAATGTCCCAAACATTATTCTAGGCACTTTACATATAATACTTACCCTTATAATAGCTTTTGACATAAAAATTGCCATTGTGCAGATGCTAAAACTAAAGTTTAGAGACAAAATAACTTCTTTAGAGTCTTATAGATAGGGAGTGGCAGAACCAGGAATTGGATTGGGGCAGTCTGACTCCACAAACGCATACTCTTAACCACTATATTATGCTTCTGCTTTGGTGCGTAATCGAAATGTTTCTAATTCATTCACGTCCATATCTCACCTGAAAGGATTTGATGGACTGTTCCAACAGAGAATTGTTTTCATCTCCCATCATTGTCACCTTCACCTCATCATCTGCCAGATTTAAGACTCGGAGGAAAATCTCTTGGGGGCCTGGCTGGGGTGGGGCCATTTCCTTAGGACAGAGAATACATGTCAGAATCACCAACAAATAACGCTCTGGATACAATGAGAGCACATATCTCTGTCATATCTCTGACAGCCTCGTTGATCTAGTCAGGAAGACATAGTTTTCTCCCTCTGAAGAGTAATTGGCTTAGAAAACTCTGAAGGCAGCTTGGAGGGGAAACACCAGCTCAATGTAGCAAGCACAGATGTCAGGTAACAAACTTTCTGAGTTTTGACTCAGCTATGGTCTCATATATCATTCCCCAATAGTGGCTATTCAGTCTGCCAAAAAGGTATTTGTTTGAGTATCTGGTAAGGTATCATATAAGCCTGTGTTTCCAAAAAGATGGCTAGATAGCTACTATATTAGTGTTCGTAAATTCCTTGACAATGTATTCTGAATCACTCAGGTGGGAGACGGGCCTCACTTTGCACTGCTGCTGTAGCCCTCTACCTACTCATTTATCACAAATACTTATGATGCACCTTCTTTAAAATAGGTGCTATGCTAGGTCCCAGGGAATCTGAAGAGCAAGCAAGATAGATAAGGTTCTACATTTATGGAGCTTAAAATTTATTGAACTCACATTAATTTTTATCTCTACAACTGCCACAACTACAAATGCCAAGCACGCTAGGATCATCCCAACAGCCATTTTCCTCAGAGATCTGCAGAGGAAAGGGAGAGACAATTATATCTAAACTTTAGACCCTAAACAATAACATGTAACCCCCTAGGCCTACCATCAAAGACCTTTCCTGATTTTGTCTCAATTATGTTTCAAAGTATTATATTTCAAAGAACACATCCTTGTTTCTCCATTTACTTGAGTCACATTGAACTGTTGTTTGTGATGCACCACATCTACCCGTTTCCCCACATCTACCTTTGTTTATGATGCTTTTTATATCCATTATGTCATAATAACAAAAATAATAGTAATACAGTCAGATTCAGTGAACATTTACCACGTGCCAGGCACTATACGTCATTACCTCATTTTCCTCTTCAGAAGTCTTTCTTGACCCTGGCAGCAGGAAGGACTTTCTTCCTTCTCAGCGCTTCCCTGGCACTTTGCTTCCCTTCTTAGGACATCAAATGTATTTCACCTTGTGTAATAATTATTCTTACACTCATTCTAGCTCCTTTACTAAACAATAAACTCTTTGAGAACAAGATCTGTGCTTTTTCATTTGCATGGGACTTGTGCTAAACACACCAATATTTGCTCAATGAATGAGTAAAGGACAAAAAGCCCTTTGAAAATGGTAAAGTGGTCATTAAAAAGAAATTGCTATTAAATCAGCAATAAGAAGAGGCTTGAAACCCTGTTCTGTCAAACTTTACAAAGAATAACACTTCTATTTTGAATGGGGAAAAGCAATAAATAGGGACAATTCTATCCCACTCCTGTTTCATAGGGAAAATATGGGATTTGAAGGGATTAGTTATCCTTAAAGGCTTTGGACTTCTTTGAAGAGGCAACTTTCAAGAATAAGATTAAGAAGTTGGTTTAGGATATTATTCTCACATACTCTTGACTTTCCATGAAGCTTAGACCTACCCCTTTAACATCACATAGTAAAATCTGCAGTGATGGCTTGAGCTCTCTATAATAAGAATTAAGCGTTTCAAATTCCTATCCTCCAATACTAATAGGCATTTAGCCTAACATGGGTAACTAGAAGCAGGAAAAATGATAAAACAAAACAAATCATCATTAAGTAGAAAAGTACTGACAAACTGGGCAAAGATTGAGTCAGTTTGGAGCAACACAGGCATAATGAACACTTACGAAAAATTAATTCCACACTTGGAGACCAGACGATAAATGACAACGTCAAACAGTGGGATGAAGATGAGAACCAGAAGGGGATTTAGTACCTGTAATATCATGGTAGAAAGGATTGGTTACAAGTGTTCTATCATAAGTGTGAGCAGATGCTCTCACTTGCTTGCGCACATTCTCCCTCATATTCAAACACACTTTCATTATACTAAGTACAGAGTGATTCCACATCCCAGCCCCTTTACACCCAAGACTCTATTTCCCTTGCACCTCAGTTTCCAAATATCCCAAGGAGCCAGTTTCACTCGGCCAGTTGCAGTTTTTCTGCCAATCGTTTGGGACCTCTCCCCTCCCATTCTCACTTATCTGCAATTCCATAGCCCACAGGAAAATGTCACGGCCAGGAGAAAGGAAGGAGAGAAAGAAGAATTGGGGATTGTTGAACAAGGGTTTAAAAGAAAGAACTGGGAGTCACTAATAAACAGAGATTCTGACTTGGTTGCTCACGTGACAAAGCTTTCCACTTTCTTTGACAATATTTCCATGATACTACCTTGACATGGAGAAAAAAATCCAATGCATATACTTTTCCTGGGAGCTCAAAACTCAACTCTCCCTGGAACTGGGCAGGAGCAACTTACTTAACAGAGGATGTGAAAGAGAAAAGTGTGGGACTTAAGGAGAATAGTTTCATCCCTATGTTTAGCACTTCTCAGCATACAAGGAAAAATGTCCAATTGGAAATCCTAATAGTACAGGTAGAGGTATAGATGAGGACAGAAATAAATCCCCATGTCTATACAGAAGTTTCCTACCTGCATCTGTTCAGGCTGAAGCACAATAAAACCCTGAAACATAATAAATTAAATTTAGACGATGACTAAAGACAAGAAAAGCCTAAATCAACAATCTTGGTAATTAGCAGGTACAAAGCGTAAGTTAAAATTCATCAGGTCTTTGGTTCAGGACCATGATCATGCTTATAAGGGTATGTGAGGGAACAGACTGGGAATGGCTTCAGGCTGTGCTTGCTGAAGGCAGATGGGCCTAAGGCAGAATATTCTTTTCTGTGTACTATGCTTTTCTTAAACTTCAGAGAGAATAGAGTGAGTGTGTTTTCATTAATCTCAGTAACTGCAGTTGTGGGTGGTAATAATGTGAAGTACAAGCCATTATGATTAGGGTAAAGATTCCCACTGACACATCGTGTTTCCGAAGTTGTTCTTCAGGGGAGTCAACAAGAAGACAATCATGGTAAATCCTCGGCAAACAAAGGAAGGGAAAAAGTAAAATTATATTTGGCAGGCTCCACATAGACAGCTAATAATACTCTGGTGTCATCCCACCCTACCCTCTTCACAACTAAATTGGCAGAAAAACAATACAATAATCTAGGAAGTGGAACAATTGACAGCAGGGATAGAGCTTTATGCAACTTTGCCAAAGAATGGAGATTGGAAAAAGAGACAACAGTGCTTACAACTTTCCCCTTCTTTCCATATCCATGTACAAAATATTCCACATCCTGGTCCTCTGCTGTGATACTTGCTTGAGAGATGGGGCCAATTGTGTACATTAACCTTTACGGCTATACCCCGGGGCAGGCTTAGATAGAAAAAAACCATCACCATCCCATGTCTGTATCACTTCATTTGCTATCCTTTCAATACTTCCTTGTATACATTTAAACCCTTTCCATTCTTATATTGCTGATTTCTAAAGATTCTGTTTTTTATTTCTAGACTAGCTTTATTTATTTTGCCTCCTCAGTACTTTCCTGCTAAAGGCGCCTCTCTTATGATCTTAAATCAGTTTTCAGACAAAAACACAAAGAAATTAATTTTTTCCTAATATGGATTATAAAGAAAATAATACACTTCTCTGGGAAATCTCTTCAGCTTACCAAATTCCCATTCATCCTGGTGGCTTGTAAGGTCCATCGTGAGCCCTAGGAGAGACAGATGCTATTATGAGAAATCCCTTTTCTGTAAGAAGGAAGTGGCTGGATGAAGGGATAGCTTTCAAAACAACTATTCTTACCTGCTGATCCAAAAGAGCCCAGAACATGGGCAATGGAATATAAAGGAATAGTACTCTGGTCAGTGCTTTCACATCCATAATGAGCTGCTTCTGCAAGAAACAGGTTAAATTGCCAGACATGGTTTTCTTGCTTGGAGTAGAAGTACCCCAGAACAGTAAGATAAGAAGTTAAATGCAGTAGGAGAGAATCAGTTTGGACATGAGGAAAGATGCTACAGAGGCATAAGATGTCTTTGTAATTCCAACTTACTGGGTATTTCTCAGCTGCCCAGTCTAGCCAGTGCTCTCGCTTTGCATTGTCCCCAGAACGGTTCTTGAAACGGTTGGAAGCAGCAAACTAGGGCAGAATATAGATATCGGAGGAGAGGCAAAAAGGAACCACCTTCTGCCTTTTCTAATTCATCATCCCTTCCCTCAAACGCACATACTTAAATGACTTATTCCAACCCTTTGATTTAATCAGATGTTAAATTTCAGAATATTTCAGATATAATCTTATCTATTCTTACATCCTGTTGGCAATATATATAACTACACTTCAGGAGATTCTGCCAATTAAAACATGGTTACATTATTTTTGTTTACTCAGTGGTTAAGTAGGGGCACAGATGAAGACTGATGATTGCCATTGAGCAGTTGGCTAAAAGGCACAGACTTAGAAGACAGGTCACTGAAAAACCCATGTTTGAAGGCCTATGTGCTCACCACAGCCTCTCTTTCCCTCTGATTGAAAAAGGCAGGTAAACAATTCATGGACTTACCCAGATACATTTGACAACTTGACTCAATATGTTTCCTTCCGGAGGTGTTTTTTTGTACATTTTGCTTCCAATTGCAAACACAACTGCGTTGATAAACAAAGACAGTTCTTAGCTTCTCATTTAGCACATTCAGTATGTCAGTGCTAAGGATAGGAGTGACTGACAGGTTTCATAAAGGGAGGAAACTCACTTAATACTTCCTGACTTTGGAGTTATAAAAGTTATGGGAGCCAAGAGAAGAATGAAATGGTCAGTTGTGGAGAGATATCTGTTGAGGCTTTCCTGTCCTCACAGAACTGGAAGTCATCTTTGAATTCTCACTCTTCTTTCTCCATCTGTACACTAGAGGTATTACCAGCTTTCACTGATCCTCTTTCTTCAGTCTGCCCCCTCTCTTCCATCACCTCTGCTGTGACTCTGCTTTAGGACCTCACTGCTTCTACCCTGGATTATTAAAAAGGCCAACAACTTGTTTCTCAACCCCTGGTGTCTTCTTTCTCTTATCTGATGCCAAATTAAAACCTTTCCAGGACCTACCAAATAAGCCCAAACTCCTGGCATGAAAGGCTGTCCCAAATTCATTATTGTCCTGATGGTTATTATTATTACTATTGAAGGTTGTTATATGTAAAGTAATAAGCATTTTACATACATTAACTGATTTAACCTGACAAACTATGTAATACTCTCTCCATTTTACACATGAAGAAATTGAAGATTAAAGAAATTAAGGAATTTGTATAAGGCTACAAAGCTAAAAATTGCCAGAAACCGTACTTTTGACTTGAGGACTATCTGATTGAAAAATCTATGCTCTTCACCACCACAAAGCATCTCATTCACTCATTCTTACATTACACATGGTGCTAGACACTACTGGGAATGAAGATAAAAAAGACGTGGCCCCTGGCTGCAAGGGAGCTCACCTCAACTTACCGTTTCCCACTGTATGCTTCATTACTCTCCATTAGGTATCCTGTGCTCTAATTACTATTCCTCATTCCTACAAACAATTCTGTTCTGTACTATTTCTGTTCTTGAGCTTGTTCTCTTTCCCTTGACCCACACCTTTATTCTTTCACCACATCTCCACAGCTGATTATAGGTGAATTTTATTTTCTTATTTTTTCTTTTACTTTCCAAATAATCAGCAATGAGCTGATATTACTTTTATAATTATAAAGTGCTATTTTTCAAGTTTATCAAGTTGAACTAAAATCGTTGAAAAGACTCCATATTGGTACCCTCCTAGATATGCTTTCCTCCTTAACGGATTTTCCAGCTCCAGCAAAGTGTGCTTCTAGAAGTTCATTTACCAAAGATGCCTTTCTCAGTGGCCAGTAGCACTTTCCAATATCCTTACACATTAGAATGTGTGAATCACCTTATTCTTCCTTACCTTAACTTTCTAATTTCTCTATTCCTCTCACTCAGATTCATTCTACCACATTTTTTTTATTCATCGTCTCAGTTTCCCCAAAGCTTCTCCAAATAGCATTCTTTACCTACAAATAGCTTTTAACTGGTGACAAAACAAACAAACAAACAAACAAACAAACAAAAAAATAGTTCAACGAAAGAATGCTAATCCTGGGAGACAAGTGAGCAAATAAAGAGGTGTCTAGACAAAAGGAAGATTTTGGCTAGGAAATAAACTGCTCCTGAAACTAAGAATGACCTTAGAAAGAGGCTGGAAATCTCAGGACTTCTGGTCTCAATAATGTCATTAGAGTGATAAAAGGCAAGCCAGGTAACCAGCTCAACAAAGGTCCACTTAAATTTCAAGCCCACTTAATTAAAGAACATGAGTAGGGACCTTGAGTTTCTTTACTATCTTCTCCCTGTCAACATAAGAAACATCCAAACATGTAGATAATTTTATGAGTTTATTTGAGCCAAACTGCCGACAATGCTGGGAAGAAGATCTCAAATGATCTGGAGATTCAGAGTTTTGTAGTTCCTTTTATTCATTTGGAATTAGGGAAGGAACTAAGGAAGATTATATGAAGGTGGGAGAAAGCAAGGTGGGAATTGGATTACAGGAGAGTTAACAAGATTGTATGTGCTCCCCTGAGAATGGTTACACTTTTGAGGGGTCTGGAAAAGAGGCATTTCAAAGATGTGTTAACCTAGATGCACAAAAACAATGGACAGAGCTTGCTTAAGACAAAGATAAACCTTTTACTAAAGTAGGGACTACCTACATTGACCTGCCCAGTTAAGAATTTATGATCAGATCACCCTGGAGGTTATTTTCGGTCACTGGATTTGTCAGATTTATTATAGAGCCCTCTTTTCATCCTCATCCCTCTAGTAGATGATGTTGCCTTTTACTTCATAAAAATAGATGCCTTCAAATGGAAACTCTCTCCACTTCCTGCCATCAAATCTATTAATTCTTGTAGCCATACCCATCTTCTCCTCCTTCCAGTTAGGTGAAGGTGATGTTTCTACTCTTGCACAAAGGTAATTCTGCCATGTGTTCTTTCATACTGATTATACTATCTTCATCTTGCACCTTCAACCTCTTTTTGTATTGGAGTCTTCCCAATAATATTCAAGCATGCTTGATACCCTCTCCTCACTCCATGTCACCTTTCAGCTATAAATACTTACTGTTTCCCCTTTCTTACCTCTTATTCACTTTCTAATCTATTCCAATCAATCTTGAATCTCTACCAATATATCATCACTGATTTCACCAAATCAATGATCTTCTTGTTATTATATTTAACAGAAATTTTTTACCCTTACCTCAATTTCTCACACAGTAACATTTGTCACTAATAGATTTCCTTTCTTCTTGAAGTCCTCTTGTATCCAAAATAGCACTACTACCACTTTGGCCATTCCTTCTTAGTCTCATTGGTGAGCTTTTCCTCTTTGCATGTCTTTTAAATGCTGGTGCTCCTCAGCGTTCTATCCTAGCCCTCTTTTACCTTGTTATTATTATCTTTTATTTATTTTAACTATTTTCATAGCTTAATTTCTATCCATATACTAATAGTTCCAAATCTTTATCTATAGCCCAGACATTTCTTCCAAGCTCTAAAACTGCATTTCTAAATATCTGCTTGAAAACTTTAAGTAATGTTCCAAGAATATCTAAAATGTAAAATGTCCAAAACTAAAATGATTGGTATTGCCCCAAACCTATTCTCTTTCATTATCTCAGTTAATGATCCCACTATCTACCCAGTTGGTCAAGTCAGAACCTACCTCTAACTTTGACTTATCTTCTCCTCATTTCACATATCTAATCATATCAAGTTTTGTCAATTCTACTAGGGCCTGGACAAGGTATGCTGAGTGAGGTACTCACCTTGAGCATAAAATTTAATGGAGTGCCAAAAATTCAAATAAATAGTGCTCTTGACTCACTCTTAATCTACTCTTTCTCCACATTATTGTCAGAGACATCACTGAAAAATATCTAACAATCATTCGTCAGTTCAAACTCCTGTATAGCTCTCCACTGTCCTCCTGATAAAGTTCTAATTCCTTAATTACTTAAAAGGCCCTCTGTTATGTGGGTCAATCTCTCTTCTTTATTTTTCTCATATATGCTCCAGGAAGTCTGAATTCTTTTAAGGCCTTCAGATATATCATACTATCTTACCTCCTTCTCTTACAGATACTGTGGTTCTATTTCTGTTTCACTTCCAATCTCTTCTTTGATTAATTGCTGTTAATCCTTTAGTTCTCCCCTCAGATATCATTTCTTTAGGCAAACCTTTCTGACTCTCAGAGTTTTAGACATTCATCCCTCCTACGTGTTCCTACAGCTTTCTCTGTACTTATTCAGTTGTGACACTAATCATACTATTTTTTAAATTCCTGTTTATTTGTCTGTCTCCCTCTTCATGTTGGACTATATAAGTTTTTTGAAAGCATAAACTTTTTGTAGCTATTTCATGCACCAATGTGACCCCAATACGTAGGAAAAAAATCTCACACATAATAGGTGTATTAAATAAATGTTTGTTGAATGAATGAACAAAAAATAAAGAAATTAAACTACAGTGAAAGGCCAGAGGGTTGAGTTATTAGTACCCAGAAAACTTAAGCAACTGCCTAATAATGACAGCTAGCACTTGTTATTTCACAATTTATAACACATTTCACTTGCAGCATTTCCTTTGATCTTCATAATTATTCTGATATGTAAATATTATTGTGCAATGATCCAGAGAAGGAGACATAGTACTACTCACAGGAAAATATTTGGGAAAATGTTTGGCTTTGAGGGAGAAGGAAACAGGGAATGTATTATCACAGATCTCCTGGAATAACATATAAATTTCCTTGGAATTGGAATTGGAATCTGAGTATTACTACTAGCCACCACCCTGGTAGAAAATGATCAGACTAAACATTGAGTCTCTAGGCTTTTTTCTTCCAGTGAGCTCTTTATGTTTGGACTGGACATCTTCCAAGGGGGTGTCACCCAAAGGCTCAGAGTGACAATAGGTTTCCAGGTCAATGATTAGAAACAATCATTTCCACGTTTCCCCTTAGACTGCATAAACTAATCAACACACACACTTTCCCTTTCCTCTCCCGTTACTGGGTTCTCAGTGGTAAAGAGAATGCCGCTTGATGTAATTTGCATGAGTTTCCATCTATTTATTCAACTTGTCTTATTCTCTTTGCTCAAGAGCAAACTCCTTGGGAGCATTGCAGAACAGGGCAGAAACAGCTAAACCTAGAAGCTACTTTAAAAGACCCAAAGAATTAAAAATGTCTTCTAATTACCAGATAAATAATTATCAGATGAAATAAGGCTCGTTTAAGAGAAAGTATTAATTATCTTCCTTGCTTCTTCACATATTGTAGTGTAGACCAGTGGATCTCAACTGTGATTACACATTAGAATCACCTAGATATTTAAAAAGTTATAGATGCCAGGCTCCATACCACAGATAAATGGATTTAATTGGTCCTACATCAGGCCCAGGGATCACTCTTTTTTAAAGCTTGCCAGAAATCTTATTAGCTGTGTAACCTTGAGCACTTTTTCTTTTTAAAGGTTTCTGACTTTATTCAGTTAATTTATTTCTAATATTTAGGGAAAACCCCTACAATAACACCTACCTTCTGGGTTAGCATGAGGATTGAATAGTTTGTGTCATATGCCTACATGATGCTTTATATGTGACAGCTTCTAGCAGTTATTAGCTTTCTCTGATTCCCCGCACTTACCAAGAGCTATTACCATAAGCAATCCTGGAACTCCAAAAGCCAGTGCATAGCAGTCTCCCCCAAAACACTGCACATCTCCTAAAGAAAAAAAAAAAGTAACCCTGAATCTTGAGTCTTTGATGTTCTATTCTACAAGCTCAGGTTTTTGAGATTGTAGACATAGATGTCCTCTTTCTTCCCATCACCTAATCCATAATCTGTCTTTTGGGCCAGACAAACCAAAATTGAAAGACATCCTGTCAGGTTTTCAAGCCCTTATAAAAGAAGAAGAAGGACAACAGGAAACCTTGTGAACAGATTTTTGGCTGGCTGGAGTCAAGACTTACACAGGGCCCCTTACAAAGGATTCTAACCTCTCAGCATGGGTGTGATAAATGTAGAAAGCAAGCTCCCTGCATTGATGGAGAGGTAGAAGACTGAGAAGTATCTAGCTCGTTCCTGTTCCTGAAATAAACAAGACAAATGATCAGTTCAATGTGCCTCGTAACTCCACCACCACCCTGTGTTCAGATTCAGCTGGAGAGACATACAGACAGACAGATTCAGATATTGCCTCCACGGTGTCTGAATATGACAGTAGGTATTTTAAAACATATCTGGCTGACCCCAGCCAAACACTTGCCCATCTTTCAAACCCAAGTTACAAGTATCTTTAACAATGTTTTACCCCTTTACCTCAGCAAAAATGATCATATTGTATACTATGCCACTACAGTGTCTTAAACATATCTATCCTAATATTAATTTCTTTGCATTAAATGTCTGTTTCTTTCAGTAGGTTGTGAGTTCCTTTAGGGCAGAAATCACACTTTACTCATTTCTGTAATCCCCACTACCCAGCATAGCACCTGAAAATATTACAGGCTCAATAAATAGTTATTGACTGAATTAAGTGAATGATTGATTAAGCAACGGATTTTGTGGACTGTGCAATAGGAATAAGATTAGAACACAGGACAGTGGGGTAAACTGTTGATCAATAGAAAAATTTACCCAGTGCTTATGGGAAATCTGCCAGGGAGTATAAAAGAAAGTCCATAGGCTTAGAAGTGGCTGGTGGAAAGTTGGAGGCGGGTTTGTCCCATTATTGAATATCTTTGTGGAGCAGTTACCAAATGAAGCAACTTTCAAATGCAGTTGCTAATGCAGCAACTTTCAAATGAAGTTGCTGATGCTTTATTCATTGCATTGTGCTTCATTCTGGCACCCCAGAACTTTTCCTGACACATTAGCACAATCTGTCTTTCCCCATTTTCTATTTATGGTCTGTTTCTTTTCCTCTTTTGGTCCCCAATTAAACCTCATTCCACTCATCTATTTGTATAGTTAATTGTGCTGCATAGAATCCCACTTGCCAAAGTTTTGTTATTTCTCCAAATTTAGCAAACAATTATGGTCTATGGACCCACAGACAGATATAGAATTTAAAATGATTACTCAAATGGTCTGAAGGGTAAGAGATCATTTGAGTTATGGCCACAGGAAGACAGAACACACCGATAGAACAGAGAGAGAAAAACGAGAAGCATGATAAATAGCTATAGATGAGGAAATAGACACATGAAGACAGACAAAAAATAAAACTGAGAGCAAAAGAGAGGAAGCCAGAAATGATGTCTGATCTAACAATAGATTCTTTCTCTTGCCTATTTGTCACTGCTTCCTCATATGGGTTCATTTTTACCTTATTCATACTGTTGTTTTCCTCATTGACAATGGAAAGTATATAGGAAAAGAGAGAATAATTATCTAGACGAGTTCATCTATAGAAACTCATTCTGTTTTATTCCAAATGGTCATTTTCCCTTTTCATAGAATCTCAAATTTAGAGATGCTTAAGTAATCTCTACACCATTCTTTCCCTCCCATTCCCAAAATACTTACCACGTTTCTTCTTAAATACCTTAAGTGAGAGTAAACTCAAGACTTCAAACTCTGACTGTTTGAAGTTTTTCCTTTCATTAAACAAAAAGCTAGTTTCCTATAAGCTTTCACTCATTGGTCTCAGGTTTAATTACTGACATCTGTACAATATCTATAGAGAGCTGAAATATTCTCTTTAATTATTATCTTGTCCAGGCTAAGTATCTCCATTTCTTCAATCTTTCTTCATAAGATATGTCTTTTAGTCCCATCCACCACCCTCATCATTTTCCTTTAGAAGTTTTTCTGCTTTTTTCTCTCTATTAAGGACCAGTACCTAGAATGGAACATAACTCCCCAGATAACATCTTACCAGTGAATTACTTTGATATTGGCAAATGGCTACTTTCTAGGTATCTTTGTTAATGCTGGCTCTATATTCTTAAAATACAGGAATAACAGGACTCACATGTTTTTGTTCAAACTGGTCTCCACCAAAAGCTGCCACACAGGGTTTGATACCTCCTGTTCCCAAAGCTATTAGACTCAGACCGACCAATGATAAGACTCTGAAATGAAGAGGTGAGAATACTAACTATACTGATATTAAACACAACATAGAAGTTGAATATAGAGCTACAGGAAGACAAAAAAAGTACACACAGGCAAATACCCCCTTACATTTCTAACCTGTGGGCACTTTTCATCTGTCTTCACTCCTAGGAAGAACTTGAGGATACTTATGATCTTTATGACCCTGAGCCTCTGCCAGAAAGTATTTATTGCATGGGAAAATTTGTCCCTGATGTTCCTATTTACCCTTTGTGTACAACAGATAGAAGCATATCCTGAAGGAACTTTAAAATTAAACCTCTGGTTCTCAATCTTCCTTAGTCAAAGGGACACTTCAATAGAAAGACCTTATAAACCATTAATCCCACATACCCTTACTAACCACAAAACAAAATGTTAAAATTCTTCATAATTTGTAGACACATCACTGATTTTTTGATGGGACACCAATAAGGAGGTGTCTATTATTTATTAAATTTCAAACAAAATTCTTAACTAATTGCAAAATGCATGCGTAGGCACATTATAAACATGACTACATATGGCCGGCTTCTTGAACAACTATAATCCTCTATACTGACTGAACTAATAGACATCAGAATATATCAAATGCTTCTTGCTCCATAAACATCAATAGCTTTAGCAAAAAATGGATAGAGCAACTGGAATATGTGAAACTACACAAAATGGAAATATCCACGCTTTGAATATGACCTCTACCAGGTATTATAAGGAACTATTACAGACATTTTTTTTTAACCCTGGTAAAATACAGATGTATGGTGAGGTGAATAGGTGAGGGAATATGGAGGGCATGAAGGTTTTAATGATTGTCTTCAAGCATATGATGAATTTTTATGCAGAGGATGTTAATTAGGTGTTCTACAAGTTCCCAAATGTGTAATAAAAACAAATGAGCTCAGATAAAGTAGGAAAAAATTCAACTGGTCATAAAATGATTTTTTTCTTAACCAATCTGGTAATAAAATAGTAGGTTAGAAAATAAAGGGACACCTCTCATTAAAAAAAAAAAAGAATCTGTAATGAATGTGTGAGACATTTACCTATCTAATGGAAGAAAAGTGGTTCAGTTTATCCCATGATTTTACTTACGTGTGTACCATGTGTCCCCCCAGTATTGGTAAGGCACCCAATGATTTGATCATGTGGCCAAGCACATATACCAAGGAGAGAGAGATAATTGTCCTGTGGAGAGAGTTAAATCAGTCAGTCTGCAGACAGAATTCAGAGACTTGGGTAATATATACTCAGAGTTCATACTGTCCTCAGTGCCAGGATAAATGGAGTGGGAGGAGGAAGAGGTGGAGGAGGAAAAAATTACCTGAGAAATGCAAATAGAAATAATAATGGTGAATGAAGTAAACAGACTAGAAAAAGAGAGACGAAGTCTTTACCCTGTAGTGTTAGAGGTAATGGACATTCTCTTCAAGCTCCTTTCCCATGCCTGACCTCTCTTTCCCCCTCTCCCCACCATCACTCTACACATACACAGAGCATCCCTGCTCTGGTACAGATATACTAAGACCAGGTAGCGAGTGATGATGTTTTAAAGTAGGAGAATCAGAAGAACAGGATACTTTGAGATGTTTTGCTTAAGGAATGTCTTTGGTTCTAGAAATTGATAGGAGTCAAGGAAGAACTCCAATTAAACAGGAGAAAGGGATGGCTAATACAAAGAATTTATCTCAACCCAACCACTAAGATATATAGAGAGGTAAAGAGCTGTCAGATTCAGTCTGGTCACTTGAACACTTGGGTTAATTATAATCCCTGCCACAGTTTCCTCATGGACAAGATACCAAGAATAAGGAAGGAGCCAGAGACTTTGAATAGACTGTTCAATGATAAAGATCATGCAGCTGGAAGGAACTTCCTTTTGTGTTGTTTTTCTAAGATATCTGAATGGAAAATAAAAAGCAGGAGAGTGAGGAATTCCAGTAAGAACATATGTAGAAATATACACATTGAAATACTGCACACTACCACAAATACAATATACTCCTTATGTATATTACCACCCTTGCATTCTCTTTATACGTAAGTAGAATGTTAGTACTAGAAAGAACGTTGGAAATTATATAGTTTACATCAATGATTTTTAAGTGTAATATACTAATGTGGAATATCAAGAATGGAATGAAGGTATCAGAGAGAGGCTGGAGATACCAGAAATTTTAGGATACGGATTTCTCATTCAAATGCCTAACTTTCCTAGGCTGACTCTCCAAAGAAGGGGTCTTAAAAGGTTTATAATGGCAAGTAGAGAATAAGAAGTTGAGTGACTGAGCTAGGGCTAATTAATATCAGAACGAGGGGGTAGGTTTTCACAAAAGCCTTTTTATGGAGTTTTATGGAGTCTTCTAGAAAAAAATTATCTTTGTTAGAATAAAAAGAATAAGTAGAAAGAAAGGGAATAAAAAGGGACTGAAAAAATGCCAGCTCTAATAAACCCAAAAGAGATAATCTATGTTAGATCATCAGCGAGAAAAATAAAAATGTATCTGAGCTGGAGTAATAGACTCTGAGTAGGAAGATCAGAGCAATATCAGATTATTAGACTAAATGAAAAAAAAAGAAGTGTAAGTGGCTTAGAAGGAAAATAGACAACCTTGTAGATGAAAGCCTCATGGAATTAGTCTAGGATATGAAGACTGTAAGAGAGGAAGCTAATGGCAGGAAATTATAATATAAGGAAAAAGAAGTCAAGAGAGACTTGGAAATTCCACATTTGAAATGAGATCATTGGGGTCACTGTAATTCTCACCACATGACGCAGAACTAATGTTTTAGATAGACTTGACCAATCTTCCATTTGCAAATGAGGAAAGTGAAATCCAGAGATATCGAAGGACATTCCTAAAGTGACATTCTAATTAGTAGTGATTGGGGTTAAGCCTAGAACTTCTTTTTCTAACTCATGGTCCAGTGTTCCTTCAGTTTTATCAAAAACAAGTTAATGTGGAAAAAGGAAAGGGAAGAGGAAGAATTTTTAAATATTATTTCACCATCACAGTTATTTTTAATTAGAGCTTAGGAACTGAGAAGGAATATGCGCAGTGATGACAGAGGAAGAGACCTAGCATGAAGAAAGTCATCTCTGATCAGACAAAAAAAGATGGAAGGGGTCAAAGACATGCTATCCACCCTTTCAGAGAAAGAGAAAGGAGAAGTGTAGAGAAAACATCTAAAACCGTATTTGGCAATAAACTTATTTAAGAGAGTGGTTGCAAGTGATTTCCAAGGTTGAGTCCAGACTGATAGGCATGGGTTACAGGGAATAAAAACCAACACTAGGATTAAAAGTCATTTTCACCCCTGCCCACACTATCCTCAGTCTTGTGCCTACATCTCAGTATCTGACAGTGAATATATTTATTAACTGAAATACTTATCAGGCACTCTTCTAGGTGCTGTGGATAAAAATATAAATGAGACTTTGTTCTCTAAGTGTTCGGAAGAAAATAGATTTATACAAAAATAATTATAAGATAGAGTTTGGTAAATGACTTATGCTATAAATGATTTATACTATATGAGGGTAAAAAACATATGAGAGTAAAAGACATACCCTAGAGAAATGCCTACATGCAGGAAAGAGTGAAGTAAACAAAAGGCAAAAGAGGAGCCCAATAAGGAAGAGTCCAAAAAAGTATAAGGAAGAGAACCAGAAAATAGTGTTAAGGAAGACCAGGAAATTTCAAGAATATAGGAGTGATAAACAGACTGAAATGTTAAAACAAGTTCAAAGTGAATAAGAATTTAGAAAAAAACCACTGGAATTTGTTAACAAAGAGATAGATCCCTACCAATGACATTAAAGATAGAAAATTCAATAGGATAAACATATGATTTATGCTATATTTTATTGTACTTACCAAACTCTGCTCTGTATTAAAGCTAGTTGACTATGAAAAATGTGAAGCAGGTATTTATGTCTTATTCATCTCTTTATCCCCCATGTTTCTTTGAACAAATAGAAGATGTTTGATTAACATTTATTGAATTAAACCCTATCAGATTAAACTGAATTTAATTGGATTCTATTGCACTGCATTATATTACTCTGCCCTAAGGAATAATAATGAAGAGTGAGAAAGGAAGGCAACAAATATAGATGATTCTTTTCAAAATTTGGAGATAATGGTAATAAGACAAAGAAGACAAAAAAGGGGAATTTAATAATTGTTTGTTTAAAGCTATCAGAGCTTTGCACTTGCTTCTAGGTAGAGGAAATGACTGTCTCTGAGGGAGAATTTGAAGGCAAGAGAGGAGAATATTCAGGGTACAAAAACCCTAGGGAGGGTGACCTAGGTATTGGTGATACCTATGTAAAAATTCATCGAACTGTACACTTAAGACTTCTAGATTTGTATACTTTATGTAACTTATACCTCAACAAAAATAAATTTTTGAAAAAATAAAGGATATCTCAAAAAGGATTGAGATTGAGGGCATAAGTCAAGGTTGTTAATTAAATTTCCTCTGAAATAGGCAGGGAACTAATATTCACCAAATCCTGGAACTATATATCCTCAATTTTAAAAGAAGTCATTTAAAAAATAAAGTCCTGGGGCTGGCCGAGTGGCTCAGTTAGTTAAGAGCTCGCTCAAGAGTGTGAGCTCTGAGCAACAAGGTCGCCGGTTCGATTTCCCGAGCTGAGCTGCCAACAGCTGCCATGATCAGTTAATAAATAAATAAATAAATAAAAAGATAAAAAATAAAGTCCTAGTGGTGTATGTGAGTCTTTTATTCTATAACTGAATAGAGACCATGCCTTCTACTTTATATCTACACATAGTTACCATGGACTTGGTCACTAAAACTACACAAGTAGCAAACACAGATCTCAGTCACCTACCCACCATCCCTCTCTCAGGTCAAAAATCTGTGTTTAGTACTGTGTTGTATCAATAGTTGTAGCTATAGAGAAGGTGCTGATTAAACACTTTAGAACAATGAGTAGAGAGAGACCAAAGTGAAATATCAACAAGTGTTTACCTTGCAACACTAGGTCCACAAGATATCCTGAAAAAATATTCCATGGTCACACAAGTTTGGAATACACTATATGCAATAACCTTCCCTTTGCTGTTTTATAGTGCATATTAGCATGTTCATGGCTACAAGAAGTCATGCAGTAAAGAAACATTTTCCAGCTTTGTTCAGCCTAGTATTTTCCAAACGTATTTGACCATGAGCTCTTTATCTTCCCACATACCACTCATTATATCCTATACAACTGACTTTCAACAGAGTGTACTTTGAGAAATGCTAATTTAGACAAATCAATACATCTATAAGTCCATAGAAAATAACTGGGTGATGGATAGTTAAGGTCCATCTTTAGCTTATGAAGATAATGTTATAGGGGGCAACTATAACATTATCTTATAAATGTCTCTTGGTGCTATTTTCAGGGAATTAAAAGATACTGAACTGAATAGACCTTTTGTCTAACTCATGAAAATATTTACTCATATATTCTTAAGAAGGTAACTACAGAAAAAAGTTAAAGAAAAGATGGTAAAACAAGAAAAGAAAAGATGGTAAGAAAGCTGAAAAGAGGGTCTCATAAGAAGATACTAAATGAGTTGGGATGATTTAATATGAAAGAAGAGAATAACTATAATGAGGCCTCTAATAAAATTATACATTTTCTGGTGCATGGCAATCTTCATTGCCTCTGAGATCAGAACAAGAATTGGTCTTAAACTACAGAATAGGAAATTAAAATTAAAATTAAGAAAAAAAGAAAAACAAAATAACTCCTGACTGAAGAGGATGTAAAAATATTGGAAAAACTGATAATGAAGAGAAATAGCCTTTCCGTGTTGCCAGTCTTAGAGAGGCTCTTATTTGTCATGGATGATATAAGTATGTTTTTGCTTGGAAGAAAAGGCTAGAAGTGGTAACCTCTGTACAATTAATCTGTGCAGCTTCTGGGGATATGATCTTCCATTTTCCTTACTTGAATTTTCCCAACCATGAGTCAGCAATGGCTGCTCCCAGGATGGGAGTGATATAACAGAGGCTACTGAAGGCATGGTATACAGATGTGGAGGTGTCTTCACTCCAGTGCAGGAAATACAGGAAATACAGGGTCAGCACAGCTGAGACAAAAAAATAAAAGGTAAAATAAGATGGATGCATTCAAGTGACTTAAGGAGTAGAAGTACATTTGATCTCTGGTCTTTGAAGGCGATCTTGACCTTCAACACTCCAATCAGTGAAGTGACTGAGGGGTGACTGCCAGGCAGTAGAAGCAGGGCCCATGGGAGTTGTGAATAGTGTGTGTGTGTGTGTGTGGGAGGGGCAATACTTAGTGTACAAATACAGTACTCCTCCATTCAGTCCATGTGCACACATAGCATCATTTAGGCCAATCACAAAGCTAACATGGTGCTCTTTCCAATATCCCTTCTTTTTCCTTCCCAGCAACAATCTAGTTCATACAACTGAGGAACAGACATGAAGACTGGAACTCAAATAACAAGTGTTTTCCCACTTATATTCTCACAGACTGTGTTCTGGTTTCTAGTAGGCCTTTCTGTACTTGGCCTGCATGAGTCACTAGGTGAAATCCCACGAGGTGTTTATTGGAAGTACTGGGAAAAGGAAAGGACCAATTTGGATGAAGGCAGAAAAAGTGGATAGGGAAATAAGTACATATAAGGAGACCAGATGTTATAAACATCGGGTGAGGGCAAGTGGGGAAGAGTAAAACTCTGAGACACAAAATTACCTTTCATGCCATAGAAGGAAAAGCGCTCACAGAATTCATTCACCACGATGAAGGCAATGCTCAGTGGATAGTTGGAGCCACAGATTTTCTATGAAACAGAAGGATAGTGGTTCAAGCATGAGCTTTTTCTCCCTATTTAAGCCACTAGAGGGCTGGCCGAGTGGCTCTGTTGGTTAAGAGCTTGCTCAAGAGTTTGAGCTCTGAGCAACAGTGGTTCGATTCCCAGCCCAAGCTGAGTTGCCACTGAGCTGCCAACAGGTGGCAGAATGGCTCAGCTAAAACAAACAAACAAAAATAAACAACAACAACAAAAATAAACCACTAGATTGTTCCACAACAGAAACATTCATTTATGTTAAATCATTATGATAGGTACTGTGAAGCAATGGTGACTACTCTTCACGAAACAACTATTATGATACTAACAGTCTTTACATCGCTGAAACTATCCTGAATATTACTTTGTTCCTCATTCTTTTTTTTTTTTTTTTGTTCCTCATTCTTTAGACAAGGAACTTCTCAGACATTCTTGATCCAGGATCTGCTTATCTTCTCACCAACTACTAACTGAAAAGCCTGGGCTCTGGGCAGAATAATCATACTTATTTCTCGGAACAGGACAACACAGTGGTCTATGGAGCACTTAATGTCCAAGCAGGTACATTTAGATGCCAGTGACCTGCTTAGCCCCACTGTGGGCACTGACCGCTCTTGTCCCCCACCTGCCTTGTCCACCTTGCTAGGCAGACTGTTGGCAATATGATGGCTTCTCATTCAGAGGCTGCTGGAGCCAAGGTCAGAGCCCAACATAGACGCCTAAAGGTAAGCTGATCGATCACCCTGACTTTGGGCAGAGCGTTCTTAAATCTTGTAAAATTAAATGTCCATTCTTCCCATGAAAGAGGTTCAATAATATTTTCTTGTTAATCCTATTGGACATTAAAAGGACTATGCTATTTCCTGCATTATATCAGTCAGAATATAAGGAATGTTATGTTTTATTTCAAATCCCTACCCATTATAATAGCCCAACTAACATAAGATGGGGATGAAGATACCGGTCCTTGGGAGAGTCAAATCTTATCATGAGGTTTATTTCGCCTCCTTTTCATAAGAAATGTATGCATGCTTGTAAGCAGCCTTTAATAGTTTGGGACCAAATAGATAAAGTAATAAATTACTTTAAAAGAATAATGTTTTTATTCTTTTACTCATATGGAGAAACAACCCTCTTAAATATTAAGGTATGTTAATGTATGATAAGAACTTGCTTGAAAGACACAATGAAGTGGCTTCTTACCTTCCAAGCTCACTAGCTACATAACACTGTCACCGGCTGTGTTAGCATACTGACCTTGGCCTTGTTATTACACCCGTCTTTATGCTTCAGTTCTGTTATGCCAAAGAAATGAGAATACTACCACCTCTTGGCCCTTATTAAGAACTCAGTAAATATTGGCTAATATTACTAATCCTCTCCACTATATATTTTGATGTGAGGACTGAGTGTGATAATGAATTTGAGTGTTTTAGCAAGTATATAATGCAAAACATTATTATTACTTCTTTGTTTCTCTGTCCTGTCTCCCACTGTCAACTGGAACACATAGTAACAGAGGCTGGATCTATTCTAAAACTGCATTTGGTGTCCAGCATAAGACTCTGCACACAGGGGGAACTAAGGGCTGAGTTTTTATATTGGTTAAAAAAAAAGAACAATCACACACAGTTCTCCAGAGACGCGTGCTTGCCAAGTTTCCCTGGACATTCAGATTGCTTTTTTCTTTTTTTAATTCGCACCAGAGAAACTCAGAATATACAATGAAATACAGCAAAGTCCTGGATCCCAAACGAACTTTGACTACTTCTTGCTGCTGCTTCCTCTCCTAAGTAAAGGAAACCTCTGTTTATATTTGGTTTTCAGGTTAATTCTAACTCCAAAAAATAATAGTTTTTAATAACCTAATCCAGCTCAGCTGAAGCTCCGAGAGGTCAAGGAAGAGAAGCAAATGAGCAAGTCTTTTCTTGTCAGAGGCAGAACTGATTCTGGGGACTCACCGGAGGTGGCTTCTTTGGGAGGCTGGGGGGTTGAGGTGATGCCTCATCAGTGGAGACAGGTAAAAAAAAAGTTTCCTTGGACTCGTTTTTCCGGAAGGGGTTCATAGCTGGCTCCTTACTCTCTCTCTCCTCAAGCATTTGGCTATGGTAGGAACTTGAGACAGCTGCCAGATTACTGTGAAAAGGGGGACTGGGAGGGGAAGGGGGGTGGCTTCAGTAACTAGGTTTAACCCTGTGGGTGTTGGCTTCAGCAGCTGCCTGGCCCAGAGCAAAGCACAAAGCCATAGGAAAAGAAAAGGGTTGGGTCTCAGAGACTAGTTCAGAAAAGTAATTATATAAAAGGTAAAGCACAGCGAAATGAGAACCACACATCACAAGACAGGATAAGACAATGCTGGAAAATTGCCAAAGAATGAAGAATAGTTAAGGGTACAACCCTCAGCATAGATTTAAACATTGATTTCAGGATAACAATAGCTGCTATTTACTGAACACCTATTATGGGTAAGGTTAATATATATATGAATTACATATATATTATCTATCTACCTATTCTAATTCTTATTACTGGACCCATTTTATAGGAACAAATGCCCCGAGGTAAGTAATTTGTCCAAAGTCATGTGGCCAGTAGGTGGCAGAACTGGAATTTCACCATGACAGATAAAAAGATTGGTATTAGTAAATTGAAGAGGGAAAGCCAACACAAAATTGCATTTGAAAAGAGAGAAAAGATGTTGGTTTTGGTTTTCAACATAATAAAGTTCAACTAGAAATATCCTATAAGCAATTATAGAGGTGGGGCTAAAGAAAACGAGACAAAAGGATTGGTGATGTACATTGGGAATCATTCTGCTAGGCTACAATCATGCCCTGTGTTTTCATCACTTCAAGATTATTCCATCATTTCATTAATAAATAAAATTTAATTTTAGCAAAAACTATGAACCAGTTTCTTTCTAGGTACTATTGCAAATATCATTTTCATTTTTTTTAGTGGATGGACTCCCAAATGACTCCAGAATGTATTTAGTCCTTACCAGAGGAAGAACAAGAACAGGCATGATGACTGATGATAGATGCATTTTACACAATCTTACTTTTGCTAAGTCAAAGAGGTAAAAGAAGAACAAAAGAGTAGGATGTTTATCTGTCAGTCAAAAGAAAAAAGAAAAGAATGGTCAGAGAGCTATAAGAAAGAGGAGGAAACCAACAAGGAGGTTGGGAAACAGGAGAACGAATTATTTTATTTGAGAATATGAGAGAGAAACTATGACTCTATCCCTCAAAAAATTCTTACATTACCTATTTGAGTAATTTATTGACAAAACCAGGGAAAGTCTACCCTTTCCTCCCTAATCTCTCCTTCAGACTTTAACCATGTTTTCCCAGCTTCTGTTTCGCTCATTCTCCCTTTCACCCACCAACCTTTACCCAAAGAGTCCAGCTTCATGTCTGACTGTGGCATCAATGATTAAACTGTAGTTATCCTTTCAGGAAATATTGCCCTATCTGGCTTGGTTAATGACTCTGGATGCAAAAAATGAACAGTCAGAAAGTTAGGCACAGATGCCTTGAAGATCTAATGCCAATGGCCACCTCTACCCCACTTCCCCGTCCTAGACTTGTACCTCTACAATAGCATTTGATCTGGCAGAGCAGATGAAGCAGCGCCTATATGCAATGCACCAATTCATTTGTGCTCATAGGTACCCAAAATACCAAACTTTAGAGTATTGATCTTGGCTCTGATATACGTTTGTTTAGATGAAATTCTTTTGATTATGTTATGTTATGCAATATGTTCATTTATTATTTTTTACAATATAATGTACATTTGATTGTTATGCAATATAATGTTAATATTCATAGAATCAAATAATACCAGAGATGGAAGAAATTTTGATCTTGTCCTATGTAAACTAAATTTCCCCACTGATTAATAATTTATGTTAATTCACACACACACACACACACACACACACACACAAATTTACAGTTCTTTTCCTTGAAAAATCTTATACAATAGATCTAGGTAGTAACCTAAGAACCTGTTTTTTTTTAGTTAAATTTATCGGGGTAACATTGGTTAAGAACAGTATATAAATTTCATGTGTACAACTTTATAATATGATATCTGTATATTCTAGTGTGTGCTCATCATCTGAAGTTTAGTCTCCTTCCATCACTTTGTATTTGACCCCCTTTCCCCAATTCATCAACCCCTTACCCCTTTCCTCTGGAAACCACCATTCTGTTGTCTCTATGAGTTTTTTGTCTTGTTTTGCTAGTTTGTTTGTTGCTTTTTTTATATCACACATGAGTGAAATCATACAGTTCTTGTCCTTGTCCATCTTATTTCACTTAGCATAATAATCTCAAGAACCACCCATGTTGTCACAAATGGCAATATTTAATCTTTTTATGACTGAGTAGTATTCCATTGTATATATGTACCACATCTTTATCCAATCATCCAACAAAGGATGCTTTGGTTGTTTCCATGTCTTGGCTATTGTAAAAAAATGCTGCAATGAACATTAAGAGTGTGTGTATCTTTATGAATAAGTGTTTTCAAATTTTTTAGGGAAATACCCAGGAAAGGGATTTTTGGTTCATATAGCTCTAGTCTTAATTTTTTGAGGAACCTTCATACTGTTTTCCATAGTGGTTACAGCTATTCCCACCAACAGTGTACGAGGCTTCCCAATTTTCTCCACATCCTCTCCAACACTTGTTATTTCTTATTTTATTGGTAATAGCCACTCTAACAGCTGTGAGGTGGTATCTCATTGTGGTTTTGATTTGCAATTCCCTTATAACTAGTGAAGTTGAGCACTTTTTCATATATCTATCGGCCAACTGTATGTCTTCTTTGGAAAAGTAGTATCTATTCACTTCCCCTGCTCATTTTTTAATCAGATTTTTTGTTGTTGCATGATTTCTTTACATATTTTGGATATTAGCCCCTTATCAGAGGTGTTGTTTGCAAATATCTTCTCCCACTTGGTTGGTTGCCTTTTTGTTTTGTTGATGATTTCTTTTGCTGTGTGGAAGCTTTTTAGTTTGATGTAGTCTCATTCATTTATTTTTGCTTTTACTTCCCTTGCCTTAGGGTCAATATCGTAAAAACCCCTCTAAGACCAAAGTCCATAAGTTTAGTGCCTATGTTTTCTTCTATGTATTTTATTGTTTCAGGTCTTATATTGAAGTCTTTAATTCATTTTGAGTTAATTTTTGTGGATAGTGTTAGATACCAGTCTAGTGTCTTTCTTTTGCATGTGGCTTTCCAGTTTTCCCAACACCATTTATTGAAGAGACTTTCCTTTCTCTGTTGTATATTCTTGGCTCCTTTGTAAAAAATTAGTTGCCTTATACATATGGGTTTATTTCTGGGCTCTCAATTCTATTCTATTGGTCTGTGTGTCTGTTATTCTGCCAATATCATACATTTTGATTACTGTAGTTTTGTAGTATAGTTTGAGTCAGGAAGTGTGATGCCTCTGGCTTTAAGAACCTGTGGTTTTTTAACAAGCACCTCTGAGGATTCTTATGATAGGGATTTGGGGAATACTGATTTGAAATCCCTCTCCTACTTTAGCCTGAAGAATATTACAGAAGAGATCAGAGACAGAGCAAGGACTAGAATTCTAGACTTCCAAGTCCTATTTTAGAGCACTTTCTATCATATTAAGATGCCTCTTATACTCTATCATGTTTGCTAAGTTGAAATCAGGTAGAAGGATAAAAGGGAAAAGATCAAAAAGTAACTCCTGAATAGACATGAACACAAACTCTTCAGAGACAAAAAAACATAATGAAAATGGAGAATCCAAAATCAATGATAAGGATAAAAAATACCTCAGTGCTTATGACAGCAGAGAGAGATATTTTATAGTCATATATAGCAAGTAGACTGAAGCTCTAAAATGAAAGATACTAATATAGTTAGAGGGAAAAGGCAAATATGAAATTAAAAAAGAACATGTTTAACAGGTGTTTGTAAATAAAATCAGCACGCAAAAATAAATTGTATTTAAATTCAGCAAAAACAAAGAAAAGAAAATTTAAGAAGTAATATTAGCTATAATAGCATAAAAAAATTCCTAGGAGTAAATCTAATAAAACATGTTCAATACCTTAACACTAAACATTATAAACTGTTAGTAAAAGAAATTTAAAAATATCGAAATAATTGAAGATACATCATGCTCATGATTTGGAAGGTTCACATTGTAAAGATGTCAGTATTCCCCGAATCAACCTATAATTTCAACACAAAATCTCTACAGGTCTTATGAGTTTAGAAAATGACAATTTGATTTTTAATATTTGAGCTTGTTTTAGTTAAGTAATAAATGACATAATTGTGGTTGTCACATAAGTATTGATGAATAGAAAGAAAAGTGAAGACCCAGTTGAAGGAGTTGAAGGTAGGCCAGAGAGAGGGAGAGAGAAGTAGGAGAGATTAAAATCAAAATTTAAGAATTAAAAAAACCCTAAAACCTATAGAAATCTCTATGGCAAGAGAAAAATTGCCAAAATTTGGAAGCAACCAAGATTCCTTCAGTAGGTGGGTGGATAAATTAACAGTGGTACATGCAGACAATGCAATATTTATTCAGTGCCAAAAAGAAATTAGCTATCAAGCCATGAAAAAGACATGGAGAAAACTTAAGTACATATTACTAAATGAAAGACATCAATCTGAAAGGGCTACATACTGTATAATTCCAACTATAAGATATGCTGGAAAAGGCAAAACTAAGGAGAGTAAAAAGATCAGTGGTCCAAGGGTTGGAGGGGTGGGATGAATAGGCAGAGCACAGGATTTTCACAGTAGTGAAACTATTCTGTATGATTCTACAACGGTGGATACATGTTATTATACAAAAAACCCATAGAATATACAACACAAAGAGTGAACTCTAATTAAACTATGAATTTGGATGATGATGTGTCAATGTAGG